GCCCGCACAGGCTCCCTCCGCCACAAACACACACTCACCGTAATTAGCAAACAAACTTAACCTTCCCCTCCACTGCCGCAAGCACCATACTCGCACACATCTAGCACGTACGCACGCACACAAAAAACACACACACGCAAACAAAACACACACCCAAAACAACAAAACAACAACAACAAAACCCACGCACCCAAACGCTTAATAAAACCGACAAACTTGTTTTCCACATCGCATCACTTTCTCCTGCTCTTACTCGAAGCCGGAAGAGACAAGAACAAAAAGGACGAGTGCAAACGAGAGTACNAAGATATGAGTACACTACAACAATTTGTCGGCATTGCAGTTTTTGTTGGGAAGCAAAAAGAGTTTCATATCACCAATGCAAAATGTGCAGACACCGAGTCGCTTAAACTTTACTTACTTTGTTGCGCGAAAACTGATCCTATCGATCAATAATTCCGTCCATGATTAGAGCACTTATTGGTTTATAAACTTTATTATTGGCACTGGTCTTGACTTTGACATGGTTGGTGATATAAAAGTTTTTTCCTTTTTATCAACAGATGTTATTAAATTAATGCAGTGACAATTATAATGATAATAATAAGGATAATAAAGATTATAAGAACACTAACAATAATAATAATGACGATAATGATAATGATATTAATAATACATAATCCTTTGCTCATCATCATTATCATCTTCAGCACTACAATCACATCATATTATCATTATCATCATTTACCATATCATATATGTATGTGTGTGTGTGTGTGTGTGTGTGCCGCGGTGTGTGTGTGTGTGTGTGTGTGTGTGTGTGTGTGTGTGTGTGTGTGTGTGTGTGTGTGTGTGTGTGTGTGTGTGTGTGTGTGTGTGTGTGTGTGCGTGCGTGCGTGCGTGTGTGTGTGTGTGTGTGCGTCCGTGTGTGTGTGTGTGTGTGTATGTGTGTACATACACAAATGTGTGTATGTGTGCGTGTGTGTATGTGTGCGTGCGTGTGTGTGCGCTCGTGTGTGTGTGTGTGTGCGTGTGCGTGCGTGTATACACATACACAAATGTATGTATGTGTGTGTGTGTATGTGTGCGTGGTGTGTGTGCCTCGTGTGTGTCTGTGTGCGTGCGTGTGTGTGCCCTGTGTGTGTATGTGTGCGTGTGTGTGTGCTCGTGTGTGTATGTGTGCGTGCGTGTGTGTGCGCTCGTGTGTGTATGTGTGCGTGTGTGTGCGTATGTGCATGTATATACGGTTACCAAAGAAAGCACATATCAATTACGTTGCGGTCAATGAACAGTTTTGCTTATGAGTTTTTACCTCACAATAACTTTAATTTCCCGGTAACATCACTGTATTTATTTATTTTTTATTTATTTTCATCTTCCCATATTATGTGAAATTCCTTATCCTATCGTTTTTTGTTTTCTTAAACGGATAAAAATTTTGTGGTTATCAGTTTTATTATGGCGATAACGATGATGATGAGTATGAATATGGTGATGTTGATGATAATGATGATGGTGATTGTTATTCATCATCAATATCATTAGAATTATCGTCATTATCATCATTACCATTATTATCATTATTCATATTATTATTATCATCATCATTATTATTGTAATTGTTCTTATCATTCTTATCATTATCATTATTTCCATTATTATTATTGTTATTAATAATAATATAATAATTAATATTATTATTATTATTATTATTAATTATTATTATCATCATCATTGTTATTACTATTATCATTATCATTATCATCACTGTTATTACTATCATCATTACCATTATTACTATTATTATTATAATTATCATTATTATTATCATTACTATCATCATCATACTTATCATCATTATTATTATCATTGTCCAA